AATTTCCCCTTTCTGAATCATTTGCCGTCTGTGCTTGTTGCAATGGTCTTGCACAAATCAAATTTGTAAAACATTACTTCACCATAAATGGAGAAAAGTGGTAAATAAAAGAAACAGGAAGGAGAGGGGAAGAGGTTAAACTGGTGTTAATTATTAATGGAGAGGAAAAATCTGGAGTGTAAAAAATTTAAATAATTATTTAAGGAAGTAAAGGTGCAACACAAGGTAATCCAACGCAAAACAAAAGTGTATAATAAAAGCATCTGAGAGGCTGAAGTTTTCCTTCTAATAAAACTAAAACAGGAAATGATAAAGTTAGTGAAACAAGGGGTTAAACACCTTTTTATGATATCTAATCAAAGTCAGCAGTCTGTGTTGGTTCTTAGTAAACATGTTGTTTACTTTTCAACGTTGCAGATAGAGAAGAGATTTCTGTTTCCACAAAGAGAAAAACTACGATTTTTATCTACTCTGCACCCGGGCTGGGCTCGGCAGGTTTTCTGTAAACAAAACACCAGATTCCATTTTATCACTAACTTGCAAATTCCTGTTGTGTTATCCAGAAGAAGCCAACTTGTTGCTCACGTTTATTCTGTAATCCTGCATGTGAAACAAACTTGTGATTTTTGCACACAAGGCACAAAACAAGAAGATAAAATCAGACACTGCTGCCATGGGCTGAAGTCATGGGATTCAAGGAAAGATAAAAGTAGCACAAACTCCAACCATCAGAATCTGATAGGTGTTCATTTCCAAAAGCTCTGGCATTTCTTTTCTCCCCACATTTAAACTAAAAGTCTCCTACTGAACCTTTTCTTGTTGTTTTTGTCACTCGAAGCTCTTGAAAAGACAAGTGCAGAATTTAAGAAAAAGTTGTACAAATGTTCTTGCAGCACTCATATGCTATAGCTTAGCAAATAATAAAGATATTTTAAAAAGAGATAATTTTTTTCAGTAATGTAAATATCCAAGTTTACATTATTCAAACAAACAAATGAAAAACCTCATCACGCAACTGGGGGGCGAGAATATCCACAGTTGTGACAAAAATACAAATTAAAGGGGAACAACGTAATTTTGGCTTGCTTTTAGCACCCCCTAGTGTCCGTTTGTAGAACAAAAACTAAACGTATCTCCTCGCCGGTCGTTCATCTTTTAACACCTTAATCTAACAGCTAAAATGTCTCCACAACCTTTAGTGTCTAGAGGAGTGGTTCGTCACTAAATTAAACAAATCAGCTGTGTTCATGATCTAAAACAAGCAGGAAACACGCTGGAAGCAGAATGCAAGTCGCAACTGAGCAACCCGTCAGCCTGAAGTTGCAAGTGGAATATTCTGGTCACGGGGGCGATGGGGCTGGGTTGCCTTTCATTAACCCTGTAAAGGGTCATTTTAACACATACTGGCTCAAGAAAATGATTTCAAATTTGTATAATTTGTAAAGTATGCCTTTAAGGCCCAATCACAATATTCACACTTCCACCCTTCAACTGTGTGTTCCTGTCCAGGGGTGCAAGTGCGTATGTGTCCTGATTATCAAGTGTGGAAGGTGGCCATGCCCCTTTTGCACCCTTAATCCACACTTTTCCCAAGTCTGCATCGATGTGGAGTTCTGGGAAAGGTTGTTGCGTGGGAATTTTGAAGAGAAGGCTGATCATTGTTTTGCTCAGTTCATTTTTTACCTCTTGATTCTACTATTTTATCTTGTTTTTCTTTAATTGTATGTCCAGCACTTTGGTCAGCTGTTATGCTGTTGACAAACGTGCTTTATAAATGAACCTGGACTGGATTGGACCACAGATTCCATAAATTTGACTTTGCAGAGCTGCTTTCCCATTTGGAAACTCACTTTCATTCCACGCTCTGCAGTTTTGACATTGGGATTAAATTATGCACCAGAGGGCTTTTCCTTGTTCTGCTATTTATACAAATGATTTGTGAAATATGGCAGCAGGTTTTGCATCAAGCAGTTTGTAACAATCCTCATTCCAAGAATAAGGGAACAAATAATCTAATTTCAGATTAGTATGGGCCAACATGCCACCAAAATGTTTTTATTTATCCACCATAAAATTCTACATGTTTCTTTGGCTAAATTCTTTGGCTGGATCATAAAACAGGTTTGGTAAAACAGAAATGGAAGAATTAGAATTTTAGGGGAAATGTTTGGTTAGGTTGTCTGAGATTTATTCTAACTATGTGAAAAAAAGACAAACTGGGTGTGTGAGAGAATAATATTTCATATTTTAGGCAAGGCAGCTTAATTTATATAGCACCTTACAACAGTATAAAACCGACCAAAGTGCTTCACAGAAATTAAAAACATTAAAAACCCCACAAGGGGGTGCTGGTTTGCCACATTCTTCACTCAACTTGTGCCAAAACCGTTGACTACCATCATCCTGAGGTATGAAGATATGCACTTGGCATCAGCTGAGGAGAAGAATGGCTGATGCTTCTAATAACATTGAGCTTCACTCGGTGCTGAATGTTACCTTCCACCTCTGCTGCTCGATAACCAGCCGCGAAGTAAAACTCCATCTTTCAAAGGTTCTAAATACAATGCAGTTACACCAATACCACACAAGATTAATGGGGCGGTTCTAATTTGAAAGTGTGTGTGTGTGTGTGTGTGTGTGTGTGTGTGTGTGTGTGTGTGTGTGTGTGTGTGTGTATGTGTGTGTGTGTGTGTGTGTGTGTGTGTGTGTGTATGGCGCTGTTTAACATGTAGACAGAGACAATCAAGGACGCTGGGTCATAAAAGCTGATGGTGGAGTTTTCATTCCGTGTGTCAGAGCAAGTTCGCTTTGCTCAGCTTACATTAATGGAAACGACTCTGGGAAGGTTTAAAGCTGACATCACACACACACACACACACACACACACACACAAACAAACCTCAGGTTACAGACTGGATAAATCATTTAACATGAGACAGGTTAGAAGCTTTCAGCTCTGGTAGGACCAACACAAACTAATAACAAATGTTTCCATTCAAATGAAAGTCTGCTTATTGCAACCCAACAGTCATCAGCACCAGTCTGAGCCAGTAAAAAGTCTGTCCTAAAACCCTCACCAGGCCAAAGGACACATCATAAGGGACCTAAATGTTGTCAAAAATAAGTTTTGAGTCTTTGTGTAGCTTGTAGGTGAGTCTGAGGGGGTTTCAGATCTTAGTCTATCAATGATTCATCACATCCCTCAGATCTCTTCTGGAGTCGAGACGGGTAACACTTATAGGCGAGTTCACCCTAGGTTTGAAGCCATCAGCTGGATGTGATCCTGAGCACGCTGATCCAAACAGGACCTCACATCAGTGTGACAAGGACTCTGCAGCAAATGACTGATGCAAATGATGGGGCAAGAGCTAACACACACACACACACACACACACACACACACACACACACACACACACACACACACACACACACACACACACACACACACACACACACACACACACACACACACACACACACACACACACAAAGCCAGCATCATAACAAATAGCCAATCTCATCCAACTTTGAAATGATGGGAGGTCTCGTGTTTTTTTTCTTTCGATTTTTCTTCACACTTGGTCATTTTCATATCGGAATGAAGTTGTTTGTGTTGACAAACAACAAAACACACCGATTGTGTCTTTTAGGGCCGATACAGATATCTGATCCTTGAGCAGCTCTGAAACGATTTAGATCTAAACTGATTCGTCTCAAAGAACATGGCTGGGAGACTTTGAACTAACATGATCTATCTGCTGGCATGGCTGAGTTTCAGATCTTTCAATCAGAACAAGTCGGTCATGCTGAAAAATGTTGATGCTAGAGTCCAAAGTGTGGGTCAGCCTTTCAAATTCAACCATAAATCTCATTCTGGATTCCAAATAAACCAGCATGGATCATAATTTACCAGCTCCTAATGAAACGATCCCTTCTTGCTTCTTTAAACTTCCTTCCAAGGTGCGTCAGCCAGTACATTTCCCACATTGAAACGGATCCAAAAATGGAACCAAATGCTTGCGATCAGAACCCAACCCTCCTAAATGAACTCTGAGCTTCCCACGGAACTTTTTTCCATCCTGGTGCATTGATTATACTATTTTCGTTTATAGTTCTGTCCACTTCAGCGTGTCCTAGCGGATGTATTCACAATTCAGAGTCGTGCGTAAACGACGTGCGTAAAACATGGCGTTAAAGGCATAATTATCACAGCAAAAGTGAAATAACCAAAAGCAGGAAGAGAGACAAAGGGAGAGAGAGAGAGAGAGACAAAGGGAGAGAGAGAGAGAGAGAGAGAGAGAGAGACAGAGAGAGAGAGAGAGAGAGAGAGAGAGAGAGAGAGAGAGAGAGAGAGAGAGAGTCAGACGCGCAAGCATCTCATCTCCGCCATCTCCTCTCTGCGCTCCGAGCGTCTCACTTCCCCTCTCTGAATCAGATCATCAACCACGTCGGTGCCGCTCACCTCTTTCTGCCCGTTTGGGTCAATGAGACATTTAAACACATAAAACAATCCCTCCTGAACAAAGGACGCATTTGTAATGACAAAACTGCTATTTGGCTCAATAAGACCTGCCACAGAGATCATTGATGCCGAGTAATGTTGTTAAGACTCTAAACATCAGAAAACCTCCAGATCCAAGCACCAGAGATGTGGGTTTAGAGTGAGCTGTGGGGGAAATGCTAATCCGCTGGGAATCCTTCCTGAGCCCAGAACGGGTTTGGTTTGCATCGCAGCTTCCCACCTAGCTGCACAAAAAGAGACACATCCTGCATGCGTTCACGCACAAGCAGGGAAACACGCAAAAAGCCCCACACAACGCACTGACGCGCCCTCTCATCCGTGCAGGAGAGAAACTTTTGATGCTCTTTAAGCTTTTCTAAGAAACTATTTCCATTCAAACACGAAGAAGACTTTAAACGCATCATCATTCACACCCAAAAGGTGGGAAAGTGAGATAAATGAATGAGAGCGGCTCCCTCTGATCTTCTCCCTTTACCTGCTGCGTTGATGTGATGTTTTAGATTAATTGTGTCCTTTTTTATCCTTTGCGCGTGCTCCCTTGTCCGTTCCGTCTTGTCCGGGTCCTCCTGTCTCCGCGGAAGCCACTGAGCTCTGGACGCGTCAGAAGCTTTTATTTTAGCCTATTTATAAGCTTCTGTTTCTGACCTTTGTCTCTTAAAACCGGGGGACCAGAGACATCAGCGGCAGTGGAAAATCACCGGCCTGCCTCCTCAGAGCAACAGGAAAGCGGTGCTTCTGTTGCCTTCACGGACCTGCGGAAACCTCGGATCTTTTTGAAAGTGCGCACTTAAAAGATCGGAGCGCTGCAAAGTGAAACGTTTGCATATTGTATGCTTCGTTTTACTAACGTCACGTCACTAATAGAGTACATTCATTCCTCTGAAAGTGAGAAAATGTTTATTTTGGTGAATTTCAGAAGTTTAAAGGATCTTGACTCTTTCCGGAGGCGCGCAGCAGCGTCTGCACGCGCGCTTTGCTACCATTGCGTTAAAAGTAATTAGAAAACGCACGTGCAGGAACTGAAGCTTGATGCTTTATCATCAACAACTTCTAAAACTGGGACTGCTATCTTTTACGCGGATTTCCAGTTTTACATTCGACTTCTATTACAGAATTTTACGAAGCCTACGTGAACGCATCATTAAGAAGATTTAAAGAGACAGTTCCTCACATTTTCCCACAGATCACACTTTGACTTATTTAAACAAACACATAAACATAAGTTTTATGTTTTAATTTACAGCAATGCAATCATAACATGACCGTTTTGTTGTATTTTAGTTTATTTATTGGCTTTTAAGAAGGTGCTATCTTCTTTCACTCCATGAGATTGATGAGTTTTCAGCTGTTGTCCCTGTCTGGTGTCATGACCACGACCCTGACAGGAGGCTGATCTGGGATGCATGTCAGGCGTAGCTACATTTATTTTGTTTCATGCAGAATGAGGTCCAGACTTCCTGGGGAAAGGCATGTTTTTGTGTTGTCTATCAGTGGAGCTGATTCAGATTGTTATCATAGTTTTGTTGTTGTTGTTGTTGTTGTTGTTGTATTCCACCGTCAGGACTTAGTAAAAGGGAAAAAGAGAGAGGGAGCAGGAATTCAACATTTGACATCCTGTGCAAAAACTATTTCTTTGTAGGGGGTAGAATAAATGATGTGCACAATCGGTGGGATGGTTTGGATTACAGCTAGCTGTCTGCATGTTGGAGGTCCTTCTCTGTCTCCTCTGTGCAGCAGATGAAGCACACAGCAGCACTGTCAGGTGGCTCTCTGCTGTCGGACCTGTAGCAGTTGGTCAGCAGGCCATGATGGAAGTATAACCAAGCCTTTGTAGGAACCCCCCCCCCCCCCCCCCCCCCCACCTGGTGGAAGATGTGTGCAGTTCAAATGAGGACAAATGACATGTTGACATCAAGGAAGTTAAAGTAATCTACTTCCTCCTTTTTTATGCAGAAAGAAGAGAACAGAATGTGTGGATTTCTGAAAGTCTCTGATGGTCTCTCTCCTCCTAGTGCAGAATTTAGTCCTTGTAACCCTTGTCCATTGTCTAAGATGCCAATAATGCTGATTGGGATCTGTACATCGCTTTGGATAAAAGCATCTGCCAAATAAATAAACATAAACATAATATTGACAAAAAGTTTAAACAAAAACAAGATAACCATGGAAAGTTGCCATGAAAATGATTGCGTTGGTTAAAGGTGTGTTACAACCATTCATGAGTCTGAAGAACTGTGTCTGAAATTATCTTTGCAGCAGCAAAAGCTGAATCCTTTTAATTAAAATACCTTGAAGGAATACTAATTGTCCCAGTGCCTTTTAGTCAGACTTTAGAGTTAAGATAATTTTATACTGAGAAATACTGGAATTATCTAGTATTTTTAGTCAAATATTTATATTTGACATTTGTGTGATTTTGCATAATCCTGCATGATTTGTTATCCTTCAGAGCATGAGGACGGAACGACTTTCAGCTAATATCATGAGAAAATTTAATGCACTGTCAGTAAATCTAACTCCTTTATGGATTTTTTTTTCCAGACAGACAGCAGAGACTGACCCCAGAATTAATCATTTAAAGATGGACGCCAGTGACTGAGAATTTTAATGAAACTCCATTCAGTTCATGAGATGTTTTGTGTCAGACAGACGGCGTTGACTCCAACAGTTAGTGGCCACGTCAGAGGCAAAGATGCTCAAAGGAACATCGTAAGGGTTTGCATTAATTTATTAACAGCGTGTTAGAAGTCGCTGCAGGAGAATTGTGAAAAAGGTTAATAAGCACAAATAAGTAGAGCTTTTATATCACAGTTCTGCTCCAAGTAGCTGTCTGGAAAAACTCAAAGGCAAATTTAAAACAAAAATTAGAGAAAAGTTTAGATTGTGCATTATGCAAATAGTCCCAAGCTGTTAAATTACTAAATAACAGAAGGTTCCAAATGTGCACTTATGAGAATCTAATGTTTACAGACGTGGGAAACACTTTTTCATCAAGTTGTGTCACAAGATTTTTCTAGAAGTGAATCTACTGAAATGTTTCACTCCTTGGCTAATTGGTTGCATGCCTCTGAAGATTGTTTCTGGGCCAACATGTTTTACGCTCCAGTCTTTTCATCAGAACAGGAAGTCTATTGATAGCCGACATTAACCTCTGTCCTTAAAACTCTTTATGTGTACCCTTATCTGAAGCCCTTGACTCGTACGTCACCCTGTCACTTTTTTTCTCCCAACATTATACTACGTTGTTTACTTTGGTTTCACAGAATCACTGAGAGTAACCTTCCAGGCATGTGCTGTAGGGCACATACAGTTAAACTCAGCGTTAGAGACGGTAAACAAATAACCGGTTGGTACAAAGGAAAGAAAATATGGATGTTTAAGATTTGGTATCACTGTAAATAAAAGACTAACTCATTCACTGCCAATGACGACTAAAGTCCTCATTTGCATGTTTTTACTGTGTGGGCATTGGAACGAGCCCCCGCGCCAAGAGAACAAAAATCTCAGCTCTGAAGCCGGTCTTCATCCGCATATGTCACATGTCACATGATCAGGAAGCAGAAAATCCATGTGTTAGGAGATCGTTTTGGGCCGTTCCTGTAAAAAAAAGGTGAGACGCGAACCAGAAAAGCGTCTGCCAATCACAATTCGACAACGGATTATGAAAGAACGGATAACGCTCGAAACACGCGGATTCTTCCTGATGTAAGAGGTGAGTTTCCGCTTTGTTTTGGTTGTTTTGGCATCGACATCATCCTAGCCCTCAACGTTCTGTGACTCTTTACAAAAACAATAAAAACTGCGACAAACGCTGGCAGTGAAGGCCTTTAGCGATCAGGAAACGGCTGGCAGCGAATGAGTTAAATAATGATGAACTTTAGAAACAGTCTCAAATCGTTTTCATTTTAAAAGACGATGAGAAAAAGTTATTGATCTTGTTGAAATTTTGTTTAAACTAAATAACAATTGAATGAAACTGCAAACTAAAACAAAAAACTTTGTTGTTACGAAGGAAAACATAAACACTAGAAGGTTAAGTCTGTGAGAATTACTGTCACATATTCATATCAAACCACTTCTGCTCCCAAAGCGTCCAGATGGAGTATCGGGATTAGTACCTTCATCGAAAACTGGCCTTTTCCAGCCCTATACATGACTGGTGGAGGAGCTACAGATGGAAAAGGCTCCTTGTATTTCTTTCTTACTGTTATATTGTTATAACAAAACAAAACTGATTATTGTATAATTGTTATATTACTAATAGTTTAGTTAAAAACTAAAGGTTTATAGCTGTTGAGGGTTTGGAGTCGTTGTCCCCGTGTGCTGGAAATGTTGGGTATCAACATGGATTTGAACCAATCTTTAAATGCTGAATTCTGATTTTTGAACGAATAAATGTGTTGACGGGCTGTGCAGTGGTGCAGTGATTAGAGCTGTTGCCTTGCAGCAAGAAGGTCCTGGGTTCGCTTCCCAGCCTGGGATCTTTCTGCATGGAGTTTGCATGTTCTCCCTGTGCATGCGTGGGTTCTCTCCGGGTACTCCGGCTTCCTCCCACAGTCCAAAAACATGACTGTTAGGTTGATTGGTCTGTCTAAATTGTCCTTGGGTGTGAGTGTGTGTGTGTGCATGATTGTTTGTCCTTTGTGTCTCTGTGTTGCCCTGCAATGAACTGGCTCTCTGTCCAGGGTGTACCCTACCTGTTTGCCCATTGACCGCTGGAGATAGGCACCAGCCTCCCGCGACCCTACGTGGACAAAGTGGGTTCAGACAATGGATGGATGGATGTGTTAACTTGTCACGTTAGAAGATGGTTTCATGGGCATTATTTCATAATGTTGTTAATCCAGACACATTGACTCCCATGTTAAAAACACCAACTGCAAAGCAGAAGTAAACATGTTTACAGCCTGGTTCAAACAACACTTTATGATTAATAGATTTAGTTTACAGACACGATAACTCTGAGGGGGGTTAATTTAACACCTCTCAGGATAAAATTAAAGCTGGAAATTATCTATAGTTAGGGGCGTGTCCTTTTGATTGGAAGGTAGAAAATTAGTCATCAGCACTAGCGACTTGTCTCCTGATTGCTCCAGGGAAGGCCTCAGCCTCGGCCTCACGTTATAAGTGTTGCAGCCTAGAAGCCAGAGGACAGAGTCAAGCGCCTGCTAACCTCAGTTAGCTTCGGTTAGCTCATAGCTACATTAGCTCAGAGTTTGATGGGTGTCGATCATCTGCCCCCACCCTCACAGCCCCGCTCTCAGCTCCATGTTTGTAATTTCCAAGAGTGATGAAACATGCACCATGGCCAAGATGGCGGTGGTGGGAACTTTATTCAGCTCTTCAGAAACTTGGGGGGGCGACAGTGTGGAGGCTCCATCCTTACAGTCAATGATAAACCATGTTGCATGATCTGTTGGTGCTTATGTTCTGTGAATGACCTTCAGCTTTTATGGGACTTGAGCTGAAAACCTCTGACACTGTCTGGGCTGGAGCTATTCTTCCTCGTGCTGATTAGCGATAGTAGCCATTTGGGTTAAATCCCCAAATAACTGAGTTGTAACTGAGAGAACAAGGAAAAAAAACTGAGAGAACAGGAAGGAGATGCCATGGATCTGTTGTTTTCAATCTGATAAATAAAAACACCCCACAGCATTTTCAAATAAATCAGCATTGTGTTGTCTGTAGATACAACAACAGAGGTCAACGATTTTGTGAACTTTA